TAGGTGACGATACGGTTCGACACATGCAACTGCTTTCAATCAGCAAATTGTTGCAAGACGGTGAGTAGCTGTCCATTAATGTACATCTGATGAATTTTGCTACCTGTTTCCATTTTTGTTCCCGATCAACTCTGCGATGACGGCCTCGACTGATCCAAGGACAACTCCATGCCATAGGACGAGGTTATTTTTTTTATGATGAAGACCATAGTATTATTATTATTATTCGGTGTTTATTTTTATAATTGATGTGTTTTTTTGTCCTTTTTATATTGTTCCTTGTATTTTGAAAAGATATGGGCTTTACGCTTATTTGCGCAAATATTTGCCAAATAGGCTTTTCCCATCACTCTTCATTTAGACAGCAAAAGTCCGATGAAGCGAAAATAAATAAATAATTTGTTTTATATTTCATATACTTTACATTGCATAATATTACCATTGCAGGGCTGTTACAAAATTTTCTAAATTTAATCCGCGAAATCCGCGATTTCTCAAAAGAAATCCGCGACTTCAAATACTAATCCGCGACAAAACAAAAATGTTTTCATTGCCTAAACATACCATTTGTATACTACTACATGGCATTTCAAGCTTATTGCTTATAGCATATTAGATTTTTGCTTGCTCTCAACTAAGTGTTCTTTTAAGTACTTTCACATTTTAATTGTGAGCTTTCTATGCCTGTACCATCCTATCCCCAATTTTCCAACCCGAAAAATTTATAGACCGAACGGGAATCGAACTTAGTCGCCTCTATCATGGACTTGCTCTGTATCTGCTCCTTTACCGACTGAGCTAAAGGAGTATCGTTTGTACCTTTGAAAAAAAAAACAATCTTCAGTTCTTTGACTATATGTTTTTAGTATTACTTCTACGTGAAGTCAACGATTTACATAGTTGAAGATGCTAATTTCAAATAACAGACTGTAGTGGTAATTTTTATACGATAGCTCGCTATTCTAATATCTATATACAATCTTCACACTGCCGTACTCTAACGGTTTGTTTTTTCCGTCGATCTTGTTTTTCGTGCTGAGCACCAATGCTACCGACGTGCCAGGAAGGCAGCTCCCACACCTGGACCCTACCTATCGACCCATCAACTCATGAACCGGGGACCAACGGCTTTACTTCCCATCCGAAGGAAGGCGTGATCAGAGATGTTATGCCTCAGAAAATCCCGGCGGCGCCGACTGGTATTGAACCCAGGCCTGCTGGGGTGAGAGGTAATCACGCTTACCACTACACCACCGGCGCCGTTTGACGTATTTTGTTGCCCTAAATGTTATAGTTAATTTGGCTCTAGTTTTCTCAATTTTTACCGATTCAAACCAAACACCCTGCACATAATCGAGAAATTACCAGAGTTTCATAAGCTACACTTTTCTAATTTATAATATAAACCTTTTCGTTGTCAAATTACCGAATCGTATGTATGTGAAAAATGGTTTTCTTAGCTACAACTTTGTAAAAAACCACTTTTCAATCAAATGTAAGGAACAAAAGTTAATAATGATTCATGTCACTGATGTCTTATGATTATGCTCATTCAACTGTTCAGCAGGCAACATTGGTATTTCTGGTGCGAAGAATGGAGTACAAATATCATGGCTACTATGTCACACTGCTTTTTGGATCATGCACGACTTATTACTATGTATACTGGAAATTATAGGTTTTCCAATCGTTCGGGACATCAGTTGAGTTGTTCTACTAGATCAACCAAGACTGCAATAATGTCTGTAGTATCGAAAAATGTCCAATCAGATTCAAAGTGTCTATTATGCATGATCTATTTTCGAGTAATCCAGATGTTCAAGGTTCTTCAAATCGTCCTGAAGTTCAGATAATTTGATCTACTAGATCAACCGAGATTGGGACAATATCTGTAAAGGGTGTCCACAATGAAATTGCCACACTATGAAATTGCTCTAACTTTTTAACCGTTGGGTAGAATTTAATGAAAATTTGGGTGGATTTAGTTCATAGTGCATTATTTACATCCTGCAAGTTTTAAAGTCCTGTGATCAAAACTCGCGGAAATGGAGTCGAAAGAACAGCTCGTGCGTGATAAAATCTTGCGCATTCATCACGAGAACAAGGATCTCTCGCATCGTTCCATCGCTAAAACGTTGGGATTCGCGAATTCCACGGTTAACCACCGATCGGAAGCCCAGAAGTGAAGGAAAAAGTATTCCGTACAACACTAAAAATCACAACCGCGTAGTTGGGGCCTTCAACCGAAATCCGAACGCCTCCGTTAGGGATGTGGCTAAGAAGCTGCACCTAAGCCGAAGTTTTGTCCAGAAAGCCAAAACTAAGGCTGGGCTTCGAACGTTCAAGGTACAAAAGGCCCCTAATCGCGACGAGAAGCAGAACAAGTCCGCCAAAACCCGTGCCAGGAAGTTGTACCTCAACATGCTGACGAAAGTTGAATGCTGCATCATGGACGACGAAACATATGTGAAGGCCGACTTCAAACAGATCCCCGGCAACCTGTTTTTCACGGCCAAGGATAAGTTCAGCGTTCCGGAGTATGTCCGCACTCAGAAGATGTCCAAATTTGCGAAGAAATTCCTGGTTTGGCAAGCCATCTGCACGTGTGGGAAGCAGAGTGCACCTTTCGTGACCCAGGACACGATGAACGGACAGGTGTACATAAAAGAGTGCCTCCAGAAGCGGCTGCTTCCTCTCCTGAAGGCCCACAACGTCCCAACAATCTTCTGGCCGGATTTGGCCTCATGCCACTACTCCAAGGACGTGCTGAAGTGGTATGCGGACAATAAGGTCAATTTCGTGCCGAAAATGTTCAACCCTCCCAACACTCCGGAGCTCCGCCCCATCGAGAAGTACTGGGCGATTATGAAGCAGCACCTTCTTAAACGACCTAAGGTAGTGAAGACAGTCGAGGAACTGAAGAAAGTATGGGTTTACATGCAAAAAACGGTTGATTCACAGGTTGTGCAGAATCTTATGGCCGGGGTTAAGGCCAAGGTGCGGGCATTTGCGTATGGACTGTAAATAAAATACGAGTAAAATGGTAAAATGAAGTTTAATAGTTATTTCTCAATCCCTGAAAATTTGATGGCAATCGGATGAAAACTCGAATTTTGCGAATCAATTTTGTGTGTGGCAATTTCATCGTGGACACCCTTTAGTATCGAAATACTTCCAGACAGATTCACAGTGTTTATGTGGATCATGCATGAACTTTTGTCATGTATACCAGATGTTTTAAATTCTCCAAATCGTTCTGGAGTTCAGCTGATTTATTCTACTAGATCAACCATGACTGGGATAAAGTCTGTAGTATCGAAACATATCCAAACAGATTCATATTGTCTATATGGATAATGATTAATTATTTCCACGTATACCAGATGATCTAGGTTCTCCAAATCGTTCTGCAGTTAAGATGATTTGTTTTACTAGATCAACAATAACTAGGATAATATCTGTAGTATCAAAATATTGATTTGGAAATCCTAGAACATTTGGCATACGCGGAAATAGGTTGCCATGATCCACATAGACACTGCAAATTTGTTTGGGCATATTTCGATACTACACATATTCAATTAGTTTTGGGTGATCTAGTAGGAAAATAATCTGATCTCCAGAATGATTTCAGAACCTATAACATCTTGTATACGCAACAATAGGTCGGGTACAATCCACATAGACACTTTGAATCTGTTTGGACATATTTCGATACTAGAGACATTATTGCAGTCTTGGTTGATATAGTAGAACAAATCAACTGAACTCCTGGACGATTTGGAGAACCTAGAATATACGGTTTACATGGCAATTACTTGCATATATACGATTCGTTTATGATTTGACCACGAAAAATGCTATGTTCATATTGAAAAAAAAGAAAATGTCTCAGATTGGACAGACCTCAGGAAATTTCCATGTAAATCCGGTGTGACTTATGGAATTGAGATAATTTCTCGATTATTTGCAGGGTGTTTGGTTTGAACCGGTAAAAAATTGAGAGCCAAGTGAACAACAAAATTGATGACAGTAAAATAATCCGGGACGGAAAGGTTACAATGAATTCCACAATTTTTGTAACAGCACGTTCGCCCCTTCGCCATTTTCGCGACATCATTTAATGTTTCCCCGATTTTCGCGACTGAAAGTTCGAATCCGCGAAAATCGCGAAATCCGCGCCTGTTATAACAGCCCTGCCATTGTTTTCACTTTTGTTTAAATCGGCGCGTTTATTCCAACTCGAATCATTTTACTGAATCATCTTTGCAGCAAATGACGCAGATGATTGAGTCATATTTCACAGATATGTTGCAAACATCAACGTTGACAAGACAAATGATTAGGTGTTATCTAACCAAATCGTGTTCCAGGATGCTTTCTCGTACTGGCTACGTTAGTGTTTCATTAGATTAGATTAGATTAGGTGGGAGAGGCGGGAGTGGTATAAAATATCTTAAAAGCAGTCCACTTAAATATGGACAGTCCCTTACTTCAGAAATGAATAAAATTCTTATATGTGTTGGAAGATATTAAACACTCTGCGGAGGCGAACCAGCCTCAGGCTGAAAGCCTCCCCAATAAAGAAATCTTAACTTAAACACTCTGATAAATAATGTATTTATAGAAAAAGGTACGGAAGAGAATTCAGGAGCTCTGTCCATGTCTTCCATAAACAAATCATCAACACATTGAGTATTGAGTGACAACGTTTGTCCAAGTGAGAGCAAACGATGCACAGAGGCAACAAAACTCAACACTCTACCTAATCTAAACTGTAATTAATTTAGGCTTTTTTCTCTACCCGTCCCAAGTGCTCTACGAAACAACACACAACGATAGCTCTATAAACCACCAACACATCTATAAATGAGCACCCTAAGCATTATTACAGCAGCGGCCATCATACATGCAGCAGGCCATAAAAACGAAAACAGTCTTCTCCGTGCAAGCAAGCGACGGGCCCAACCCTTTCTCCCAATCATTCAAACGCTACTTACCACGAAATCGCTCCACCAAATCAGACAAATTCCACTTCTTCAACGTATTTTCCACAAACTCGTCCATTTTAGCACACTTAAAATCGATTTCATTAGCACTAGTAAAATTGAATTTCACTGCCACTAGCTTCACATTCACATCTGACGTTTTACATCACCACTGACGGAATAAAGCAGTAGCACAGTCCGGAGCGAAAGTGGATTATTGCTTTTTTACAACCGGTCTCTCACGGAATGAGAGCGAGTTCCCTGATGCCATCTCTCTTGCTCTCGATTCGAACGATGGCCTCTACTGTAAACACCGGTCTGTCGCGTGAGCACCGTTTTGTTTGTTTACCTCAGATGAGCAGGCGACGAATCGAATTTATGGAACACAACAGGAGATCAAGTTCGGTAAATAATAGCCAAAAATATTTGGACAGTTATTATTCAACTAAACTTTCTGCAATCAGCTGACCTATTTTGTTATAGATATTTCGTACGCATCAAAGTGCATCTAAAGAATCAATCATCATCAGGAATGGACGATTATGTGAAAACATTACTACGACAATGGCAACTGGAGGAGTTGATACCGAAATTCGAAGGTTAGTAGGTACTGAAAACTGGGGGGAAATTGTTCACTTTTTACGGATTTTTAGATTTACTACACCGTCATTAAATTCTACGGGATTTTCAGATATTTTATAGGATTTTTTTTAAAACAAGAAATTTTACACGGATGGAAATCCCCTTATGCCTCTTGGGGCAAATTTCTATTGCTGATTATTCGTAAAATATATTAGTCAACTAATAATCAAACGACTTGCAAAAAACTTAATGAAGATCGTGTATCAAATGTAATGTATAAATTGCCACACATCTAGATAGAGCTGGAATTAGGGCGTAACAGCTTTTATAAAAAATGACTTCTGTCGGTGATTTCTCAAAAGCCATGGCTCTCACTGGCAAATCGACAATCGACATATCCACCGAGTAGGGGAAGACTTCTCCTACCCGATGGATATGTTGGTTTGTGTAGGGGTACATTGAATTCCTAGAAATCAATGAGAGAAGTCATTGTTTACAAATGCTGTTACGCCCTAATTCCAGCTCTATCTAGACATATCGTTTATCTTATAGGATGTAAAAGGCTGATGTTTTGGCAAAAATGTATGAGTGAAACACATGAATAAAATACAGTCAACTCTCCATAGCTCGACGCTGAAGGGACCATCGAGTTATAAAATTATCGACTTTTATAATAAATAAAATAAAATTTTTGATCGGCTATAATTTTAACAATAATACCGAACTACTCCATTTACTGGAATAGACTGGCGTTATTTACTCATATTAATCTATGAAAGTTCTGAGTAGTTAATTTATAATATTAAGCCCTTGTGCACAAAACACGCAATACAGCTGCCAGTGCTTGAAAGTAGATTTGTCAAGATATCAAAAATTCTGGTAATTTGCCCGAATTTCGCCCGAAAAATACCAGATGTGTATGTGATCAAAAATGATTGGATCCCTTAAAGCTCATGAGATTTGAACACTTCAAGTCTGCTTTTGAACACATCTCTGCGAGCACCTAGAACATTTTTGGGTCTAGCACTATCGCCCTGAGGGTCATTAGGCCAGATTTATATAAATTTTGACGAGCTTCCTTACACGGTTACGTTTTTAAGATTGAAAAAGGGGCCACTGTTGTTTTCCACTGTTCGTGTGACTGCGAAATATTATAAGATTTCACCTGTACATAATAAGCTTTTACTAATTCGTGCTATTGTATTTTTGACGCCTATCTTCTAACAAAAGATCTTTAATTCTTTTTCAAACATCTTCAAATAACAGTGGCAAACTTTACTTCATATTTTAAAAAAACACGCTTTTAAAATAATTGCTACGTGCGGGGTGGAATGAGCACATAACCTGTAATAAAAAACGACAAGGGGAATTTACGTATTCTCGTCAATCTATGCAGCGATATGTTTGTATCTACGTATTCCAATCGACAGAATTGTCCAAAACGGTTTGAAAACGGTTTTACGACGTTCCAAACTTCTCAGGTGAGTGTGACTAATGTCAGCAGCTTCTTTTTCTTTAGCAACCTTTCCCTTTGAACTGGTGAACCAGCTGTTCTATTATCGGCCGTATTTTGTAGTGCGTATATTTCAGTTATAGAAAAATCTGGCATAACAGGTTTTCTTAGTCATGAACATGTAATCAGATTAAAGCTGATAGACTAAGGAATCGTTTAAATACATACAGCGATGTGTTTTGGTGAGAAAATACAGCGAAATTAACGTTTAAATTTTGGTTGCCGAAAACAGTCAATGGGTGCCGAAGCCATGATTTACCTTATCTGTTAGTAAATTTGTTTACTATACAGGTAGGTACACGAGGTTATTGGCAGTGCAAACCTCAACCCGAGCCAGGTTACAAAAACAAACGTTCACATTGACGTTTGACAGACAACAAGCAGACCCTATCTTGATACACGATCCAGGTTGGAACTAAATCATAAACAAATTCGACAGAGTATCAGCGAAAAGCAAGGAGCACGGAATTCATCGACAAGCACTCGTACCACAGACAAACAGGCGTAACTTTTCATTCTGGACAATCGGTCATGTATTTAACAATTCATTTGAATATTATCATTTCCGCGAACTAATCACCTCAGCGCTGGCATCGGATCACTTTGACGTTTATTGTTAGCGACTTACCGAGCAAGCTTGTTTTGCGTGAGAAGCTTCCCAAGTAGCACCTGTAACATCTTTTTATAGGTAAGAAAGAGAAACATGCTACACAATTATTACATAAAAGTAACCATGAAATATATGCAGTTACATATCAAGTCAACATGAAGTTATGTCATGACTTTCTAAGTAATAGGACACATTAATGTGACACAACGGTCATTGGTAACTGTAAAGTCAGATTGTCACGATGTTGAGATAAAATGCGACTTATCTGGTCTCAATGATAACACAGTGTAACCTGAGTGGTGCGAAGACGGACCTCAAAATCGAACCACTTTCGAGCTGTCAAATCGAACCACTTTTTTATCATTGTGGTTCGTTGAAATAGATTGAAGTATTGTTATCGTCCAAAATAAAAAATAAATTGTTTTCAGTAATGTTTTTGATCTTTTTAAAAACGTGATTCGAAACGACTCAAACAATTAAAAATAACAGTATTATTGCGTATTTTGGACCAAAGTAGACTCCTGCGCTGAAAAAAACCCTTCCGATTTTTTTTCACTCAGGAACGACTGTGACTTCGGAGAACGTTCTTAGGAGATTTGTGATGATAGTACAAAAGTTCCAGGAAATTTCAACAGATTTTTCCCGCGACAGAAGAGGTTTCAGTGGATATTTTAGTTGCTGCCAGCGAGGTTCTACGGGGGTTCTATAGAGTTTTCATGTTCGAGTTTCACACGATTTGGAGGGAAGTCAAATCGTTGCCATTGGAGGTCCCAGGGAATTTCGACAGCACTTCCATAGATATCGTCGGCCACATTAAATTTGCATCTGATTTGCAACAATTTATACAAATAAAAATGACTATGTTTGATTGCAAGTCAGGTAGAGGATGTGTCAGGGTTTTATTCTTTCTTGACTTCCCTGAAATGAAAAGTATATTTTGCAGACAGAAGCAAAACAGGGATGAGATTAAATGAGGATGCATTATACAGACTTTTCTGTGCATATTTATTTAAACATCTTAAAAATCAAACATTATACATTGTTCCACTATTGAATCTTCGTTTTTTTGTACTTTTTACTACTGCTGAATCCTTGGGAAACCTGAATAGGCTTCGCTTTTCGTCGTGTCCATCTTTATAATTGCAAAAGTGAGCAAAACACTTCATTCTGAATTTTATTCCACTCCGTAAAAACTCCAGCTATGAACAATGTCAACAAACAATCACAAAGTCACGAATCGGCTCTGCACAAAAAGCCGTTTGACACTTCTCTCTACCAACCGAGGTGATGAAACGTTTATTTCAACACTACCAACATGAAGAAAATTTCACTTCGCACCACTCAGAGTGTAACCTCTTTGTGTCGATCTAATGTTTTCAATTGGTTGAACTGTGACTGAGTTGCCACAGCGACCGAAAATTTACGAATATGTAACTTGGCAACAATTGTATGCCGGATTACAGTTGCATTTTCGTTTTAGCGTGACCCTAATAGTCGTATGTCACCAGATGGTAACACATATGCAGTCTCTATGATCTGGGCAAATGAAAGCTACACTGTCGCTCTAAAATGTTTCACCAATCGCAATCTAATTGTTTGTTCCTTTTTTTAATTATCAAAATGGTAAAATATTTAATTAATGGTGATGCAATTGTGAATGCTCAGCCTTAAGGACAAACTAATAGTAACGAGTTTTCTTTATAATCTCAAGTAATGGTTCATATCATGACACTTTTTGTTCGAAGTGTTACTCTCAAACTGAGTGCACACAAAAGATTTTTTACTTCGAATCATTTATGATCAAAAATATGGTAATAAATCAATTGAAATATAAGATGGCGCATTTATTTTATCAATATAAAACTCCCAACTTCACCGTAAATATGAAACTGCATATTTTTTCTTTCTCTGACACGTGTTTCCGTTGCAAATATCTCTAATGATTATTATAATTTTATCAACACCTCAAAATGTTTATGCCATAAAAGTACTCTGTAAAACAATATTCATCGTCGAAATTAAACTAAAGTTAATCAACGGTACAAGTTAACTTATTTGTATGTAATCCAATATTGTTATTTCATCAGTACTGTGTAACTAGTTTTGTAACATTGAATTGGTTACACATCAACTCACATCTTGCGCTTTTTTAGTTGCATTGCTGTTGCCTTCATGGTTACTGTAATGATTTTACGACACATAATTTGTTCGCAAAATAGTGGCAGCAACTTTTATGTGACAACATGTGCTACTTGGGTTAAGAGATGTCGTTACTGATGTCTTATTTTTTGACGTACAACGTTTTTTTTTTATTAAAAACCTATTCAAAGAGTTACGCGAGGAGTTACGTCTGCTTTTCTGCGCTCGTACGGTACCTTCAGTTTTTGCCACAGGTGAATGTCAGACACACCGTTTTTTTTTCAGGCAGATGAAGCTGAGCTAGTGGAGCACATCCTTAAGTTGGAAGTAAGCTTCTACCTAAGAGGAAGAAAAGACAATAGAGGGCCTTTTTTGAACCAATTTTCTGTCAAACGCGAACCAGCGTCTGATTGGTCGGATGAACGTATAGAAACGCGAAAATTTTTACTACAGGAATCTATTTTCTTGTATTTTGATAGTCGACAGCGTTGCCCATAATGAAATTGTTTTTTTCACGGTCGTTTCCACGAGAGAAGAAGAACACGTCACAGATAAAAAGAAGCCAATTGTCTCCTCTTCCTCTTAGGCTTCTACGGAGTAACTGCACGTGAATTCAGAAGCATGGCTTTCCAGCCAGCCGAGTTAAACGAAAAAACTCACCTCTTCAGCAAGGAGAAACAACTAAGGGGCTGTTAATTAACTACGTAGACATTTTTTTTATTCTTGACCCCCTCCCCCTGCGTAGACAATTGTCC